CCTGAATTCGCCAAGAAGCTGGCTTCAGTTGCTGATATTTATGTAAACGTTGCCTTTGCACACGGAGGAGCCCTGCTGGAAGGCGAGGGCCTCCCAGGTGTCTTTGCTTTTGACATAGATGATGGTTTTACCACGGTTAGTGGCATCAAGAACGGGCTGCCGGAAAAGACGAGCCACCGCATTTCGACTGATGATGGTGTGAGCTCGGAGCTGCCAGTAGGCATGAGCCGCCGGACCCTCCCAGCAGGTGTCTTTGCTTATAAGATCACTAGTGAAGACAAGAAGGTTATCCCCCACATTTCGAGTGATGGTGGTCGTGGTGCGAGCACGAAGGTGCAGGAAGGCATGGGCCTCCCAGGTGTCTTTGATTGGAGTGGTGAAGATGGCTCGGTTGTTACTGGCGAGAGCAGGGTGGAAGACAAGTATATCGAACACATTTGACTGATGGTGGTGGTGCGAACACAAAGGTGCAGGGCCTTCCAGGTGTCTTTGATTTGGACTACACATTTGCGTCGCCTAGAAGGTGTGTGTCAGATGAACAATGAATAAATTTTGCCCTTGTGCGCACGGAGATGTGCCCCGGGCAAACAGATATGCCATGGATGTGCTATGTACTCTGCTGTATATCTACCCCCCCCCCTCGGATATCTAAAACCCTTTTACAGTACCTTTGTTTGGTCCTGGTCGCTACTCCTCTACCTTAGCCTACAAGGCATTCTTGATCGGGCAATAAACTGGCATTTCAGGCGCAAAGAACCTCTGAAAAAACAGAGCAATTATTTATAGTCACAATTTTGTATTTGAAGTTCAAACATTTTGAAATTTAATTTTTTCAAACGACCTCGGATGAAAATCGACCAATACCAAAGTTGTAGATCTCGATGAGACCTACAACTTTGTAATCGATGACTTTTTTATTTAAAATCATTTGAGGTCCTAAAAGTGTGGCTCAAGTTTTCGTGATTTTAAATTAAAATTTGTCAAACGATCTCGGATGAAAAAACAACCAAAACCAAAGTTGTAAATCTCGATAGAACTACAAGTTTATAGTTAATGATTTTTTTTATTTGAAGTCGTTTAGGGTCCCAAATATTTATTTTAAAATCCTAAAAATAAATACTAGGAGAATAGATATGTCATATAGACACAAGTAATTTTGGGTGGAGTGGTTAAAGGAGCTACATGCGAGAACACATGTCTCAAGTTCGAATCCCGCTGTGCAGCATGTGTATTTAAGCATGAAAAATCAAGTGACTTGTGAACTGGATTCTCGGGATTAAAACAATTTTTTTTGCATCATCACTGTCAATGATTCACTAGAGCCACAGGTTGCCAAAACCGGTTAGAGCTAGCTGTGATGACGTTTCTGTAGTAGTGTTTCTTTCTTCTTTCATTAGGCTGTGTGCATTGTTTGGAACTCTTTTTTAATCTTAATGAAAAAACATTATCAGCACATTTTTCTAAAAAGTTTGGCCTTCACAAATTTCTTAGCGATATATTGTACTCATCTATCATCATACCGTATTGGGTCATTGCTTTAAGACCCTTGTGAGAACAGAATCACTATAGCTTAACTCTTGATGACTTCAGTGTGCCTCGTGTTGCAAACGTCCTGTGTCGGCCACCGTTTCATTTCAACACCTCAGGGCCGAGCCTCCCCAACTTGATCGTCTCAGCCTTGAGGTGCTTTGCCGGCTGTCATCATGTAAACTGTTATTGGACAACAAAAATGTACTATGCTATTATGAGAAATGGCTTATGTGCTACTCCATCACCCATCACTATTATGAGAAATGGCTTATGCCACTAAGCAAAAAGACGAGGCTAGCATAGCAGAAGCAGAGCTCACAATACCGGCAATGCCAGTACTAGGAGGATGAAGCTAGTCGAGCTTCTCAAAAGGCTGAGAATCTAAACACGATGGGGGCAGACGGCCAGTACCCAACCAGAACTCATGTGTTGAGATCCTAAACACGACAAGAGTCGGAGTCAAGAATAACACGCAACCATAATCATTGTCTTGGCCAGTGGAGATTAGTTGCACCATCGGGGCTAATTTGGAATCTCAAATCCCCTTAGATCCCTGACTTTTCCCATGGTGGGAAATCCATGGGAAAATAATTTGACTAATTATTTAGTTCATCATGGAGGGGTTTTCCATCCCTGGGTGTGGCTTCCTTGCTTCCAAATTAGCCCTCAGATTGAGAACATATATAAGAAACACTAGTAGGAACATGAAAAGAGGAGGACATTAGAGTTTCATGTCCGACAACAGAAAGAAGCGAGCCGTCAGTGGTATGAACAATAATAGGATAGGAGTACGGATAGAGGAAAGACCGGCACGACCATGAGTCATGTGGAAAGAAGTATAATAGAGTTCAGAATCCATGGTGTAGTACCTGAAGTGGATGGTGGTACCTTAGTGGAAGACTAAGAAGTACCGGTAGAAGTTGAAAGTTCAAAGGCTACAGTAATAGAACTAGCAACCCTGGTAGGTGAAGAGGTTGCAAGGCGACGGAGCAACATGAGTATCTCCTGTGTCTCAGAACTATCCAAGCTACTCTAAGATCCTCCAGTAGAAGCATTGCTAGGACCCTGTGAGGAATGACCACCGCATGAACGGCAACCCAAACCCTAATCCTAGAGCCTGGCTCTAGATACCACGTTGGGAATGAGCTTGTGAATTCAAGAGTGGTGGATGTAATTGTTAGTCCTACTAATCATGATGTAATTGTTAGTCATATATTTGATGTATATATACTTCATTATAAATAAGCCAAATTACCAATAACTAGTAGAAACAGTAATCTTCTTGAGAGAAAAGAATTAAACAAAATCCAGTGGTAATCAAATCAAGATAAAATTAGAATTTATTCTACTATGATATCATATTTAAAAATGCACCGGCGGATGTAGCAAAGGTGGATAGAAGCCTAGCTACTAACTGAATCTATACAAGTATACAAGCAATAATTCATGACGCAAAGAAAAAAACAATTATAGGTTTGAAAAACTGAATAATTGACTTGTCTCCCCCTTTTAATCTCTGCTTGTGGTTAAGCATTAAGCTTTCTTTAGTAGAAAGAAATGAAGAAAAAAAACGAATGAGTAATACCGGCAGCTTCCACCTCTTCCACCAGCATAATTATTTAGTAGTATGCATTCTGAAGCCTGCATTGTCAGCTTATCCTGATGCCTCGCTGAGAAACCAGCAACTTAATGCCAACACATTAACACAAATTGCTCGTTCGGGGACCTTTTTTTTTGGACAAACCACGAAGTATACACGAATCCTACTCCTGTGACTCCTGTGACATGCATGATGCTTGGTTTAATAAAGATGAAACAAGCACATACCGGCGAAGGAACTCATCTGTCGGGAGCCTCCACGATGCTTTGCCGCCCTTTGCTGGTTGCGAGAGAGTGAAGCTGCAAAACATGATCTGGTGAAGCGTCACCGATCGAGCACTTGAGAGGCCGGCCGGCGTTTGAGCAGCCAGATCATGCTGGCAGCTTCAACCTCTCACAACAGCAAAGTGTTCTTCCTTCCTTCCCCACCCGGATTTGGGACGCTCAAACGAGCAGAAGAGGACTGAGGAGAGCATGCATGCAGCTACAGCTCTGGCGTGTGCGAAGGCAAGGGGGACGGCGAGACGAGACGAAATCAGAGCACGACTGCGCGAGCCATGCACTGATGCACGGACGGAGGCTGCATTGCACTGGAGGCTGTTAAGCAGAGCACTACGACATACATGCATGGTCCCTCGTGCGCCCACCCGGCCAACCCCTCCTCGTGACGCTGCCGTTTTGCGCCCCAGACGCTGTCGTGCTCGCTGCGTCTGCACGTATTCGTATGCGTCTCTGTTGTGTAGCCTGTCCTCGCGTTGGTAGCCCAGCAGGCTGTGTCCTGGCATGGGCAGCTCGGCGCCATCTGATTCTTGCGACCTCTCAATGCAACTAGCCAACCTGTTTTGATTGCAAGCAACGTCTCTTTCCTCCTCAAAAGAATTCAACCTTCCAACAATGGATTCAATCTTTCAACAATCGTCCTTTCGATCTCTTCCAGAACGGATTCAATATTTCAGCAATTGTCTTGTCTCTTCCAGACGAGCATGTACTGGGTGAAGGTAAGCATCCAGCGTGCCAAGTTGCTGATGGGGGATGTGGGATGGGCAGAGAAGATGTACCTTGACACCAGAAATGAGCTGTGCTTGACTTGAAAATTTGGTGTTTAGCATGCAATAATTCTATTAATGTGATTATGATGGCCGAACAACCTGATAACACTTCCGTTTGGCTTATTATAAGCACCGAACAGAATTATGGCCACCAATCATTATTCTTGCAGGATGCGGAGTTGTTGTATTTCCTATCAATCGTTATTCCATCATGTATGTGTATCATATAAGTGTGTTACTGCATGTTTTCTGAATCATATCGTCGCTTTATCAGTTTTCTCTACGCATGCTTTCTGAATCGTATATCGCTTCACCAGTTTTCAATTCCCAGGGCATACCGCCTCTGCTTGTAAAATTTCACCTGGCTCGGGTGAAATTTGGTGCTCTGGATGTGTATACATGTGCGGCAAATGATATCAGAAGGAAGTCCTACATTTGGATGTTTGACCCAGCTGCTTTCATCTGGACTCCCAAAATAAAAATAATTAACAATCCCGCCCAGCACTTGGATGGTTAAAACAATCTTGAAGATGTGCTATGTGGGTAAAAATATATGTTCATGGAAGGGCCATCTGAAATATGCACGGCTGATTGTTTGCCAGGGTAATTCTAAACCTGTTTAATATTCTAAAAGAATCTGCTGCAAAAGTTTTTCCTTAGTAAAATGTTGCAAAAGCTCAGTAATTCCAGAGATGAGTGCTCAAAGGGGGGCCATCACAGGGGCAGCTCTTTCTCTTTTTGGAACAACACTCAGACAAGCAGCAAACTCACAAAGAGGGTATGCTCGACACAAAAGAAATCATACATGTCCCCCTTCGTAATTTAACCAGGGGGCCACTTCATCTGCCTTCCACCGAGTACATGCAAGTGCAGATGATAGACAGATTGACCTGTGGACAGATAAATGACACACCATTAGCATAAAAATGAAAACATTTGGAGAGAAGAAACAGAAAAAAAAAATGTGGGATAAAGGTTGCCCATGAGCTCCTTACATCCTTCAGCTCCATTGTTGATGACAACACGGTACCCATTTGCTACACCTTCCTTTTCTGCTACTACTTTCGCTGCGTAGAGAAGCTGGCCCAGAATTTCAGTATGCTTTGGCTCAGCCTAAGAACATGTAACAATGTCATAAAAGTCATGGTAAAATGTTTTACAGACTGGCCTCCTTTTGTGCACATAATATGAACTACACTACATACCTTGTTTAATCCAGTTAGTCCATCTCTCACTTTTGGGATAACTAAAACGTGCACAGGGGCTTGTGGATTAATATCTCTAAATGCCAACACATTTTCATCTTCATATACAATGCTTGAAGGAATTTCCTTTGCAATGATCTTGTCGAAACTGAGCAAATTAAATGAAAATGAATATTCAGTGCCACAAAACAGAGTACAAGCAAGCTTATGAGATCTACATGGTTGGTCCTCCAGTATCAGCGGTGGCGGAGGCTGCTTTGGCAGCAGCTTCTTCATTTGTTGATGAAGCAATATGGTGCACAAATCTAAAGTAGCAGGGAAATGTATCAGAAATCAACTTTAGAGCATTTAAGGACCATAAGTGTGTAAAGGGCTAAAAGAGATGACTCCAAAAAATTCAAAGAACCTGAAGTTAGCAGAAGCTCAAGATAATTAGCTACTGAAAGTAGCCCGATCTGGTTGAATATTGACTTCAATCAATTTGCAGACACAAGTTTTTATGACCACTATAACAAACTTGGAGACCACAATGACCATTTTGCAGAAGATCTGGAAGGGGTAACAAAGGTTATGAGTCCTTCCTCCCTGCTATTGACTACCAATTGACTGAAATCAAGTATGTCCACAGAAGACTAGATCGCTTGGGGTACTTATCATGTATTGATTTCTAGTGAACCTGGAGTTGTCCTAACACAAAAGCTTATGTCAGGAATGATTTCCCTGTGCCTTAATAATCACCTTGCAGTGTCCATGTCTAAGTATGAGGGAGTTTCTCTCCGCTCCGTCAAGTGTTTAAACTGACATTCAATGTTAACTCTGGAACAATTACAACTCTAAACACGGTTGTCCTACAAATTATTCTAGAACTAAGCATAGCTTTCGTTAGCTACCAAACAGTGAGAGGAATTGTACTAGCCACTAGGATACCATCAGCAAGCAGGTAAATGCAGAAGATAGTAGACCAGGCCGCAAGCAACCACTCAAATCCAAAGAAAAAGATAGCCACCTTTGGGGAGGCACGCGGTGGGGGACCCGGAGACCCTGCGGCCGCAGCGAAGCAGAGCGCCTGTAACAACAGAGGGAAAGACGAGTTGGGTCGGAAGGGATTGGATGCGATAGCTGCTCCAAACTACTGTAGTAGAGCAGAATCGAAGAGATTACCTGAGGAGAGAGGACGTGTAAGCCGTGAGCGTGGCTGCCGCCGCCCTGGTCGCCATGGGAGGCGATGGTGGTGGAGAGCGGAGTGGTGCTGCCGTGCGGGGGATGCGGCTTCCGCGGCCGGCGCTTCCCGTGCTGAGCCAGTGAGCCCACGAGACATTCATGATAGCCGTCCGATGGAATATTTCACGGTCCAGATGGAGACTCCTGTCCGCTGAGATCTATGGAGAATCGAGATACGGAGTATCCCGAAATTTGTTACTAGCCCAATAATGAGCCCAAAAGCCCAAATCATTTTTAAGCCCACTGAACGTTTCCTCTTTAATAAATAATAGGAGCCCAAAAGCCCAAATCATTTTTAAGCCCACTGACCGTTTCCACTTTAAAGGCTTATAAATTTTCCTAAAAAATAAGGCTTATATATATTTTGATTATAAATGCGTGGTAATTTAGACTACCGTAAAAGGTGCTTGAAGCAGGAGAGAAGGTTGGAGGAAGATCAAATGTCGAGAAGTGCCATTGTAAAGAGCAATGCTGAAGCAAAACGCTACTCGGAAACACCTTCGTTCGATACTGAGCCAAATAAAAAAAATTCTCTCGCGCTAGTTTCAATATCGGACGCAGTAATCAGTCTTATATTGCACCGTATATATGTCCAGTATCTTTCTGCTAGGAAAGTCGCAACTAGCTTATAATAACAAAGAAACACATGTTAGGCTATGAATTGAAGAAATAGACCAATCTCAAGTTCGACATCAATTCCCAGATTACAATGCTAGGCCAGACCTAATCAAATCTAAGGTAAATTTTGTTTGTGAAAAGACATTCCAGAGTAGATGCTACACCTTCTCCTTAAGGTGAGAACATGCATAATTCAGATCACTGCACAACATCTTCATATTCTTACTCCGTTTCTCAGTTTTAAAGAACAATTGTATGTACGACAGCATAATGTTCTTAGCCAATTTGAGATTCCAAATTTCTAATCTCTAAGTACAGAGCAGATAGACTGAAAAAACATATCCTATAGAAGGAAAAGACCTACCAGAATCAAACTATGACTCAGGCACTCAGCTAAGTTAAGCAGCATGGAAACTAATTTCTATCACCCACAACACAGTCAACAACAAATCTATAAACTTTTCACTAATTTTTTTTTTTTACCCAGAAAGCATGTTCCTGAAGATAGGACTTGCACTGTCTAGACTTTTAAGGGTGAGCATCCACGAAGATTCAAGAACATGAATTTAAATGTACGAATATTGAAAGGGTATAGGAGAACATTGTGAACAGGCAGACGACTAGGCACCACGTCCCCCATTTGTAACAGTATATACTAATTGGTAGATGCACGTGATATAGCTATAGGTCATCTACAAGGATTCACAGCGCAATTGTACTGGAAGAATTAATTTCAAATATAGATAGACAAAGTATACAGACAGCCCATACAGCCCCAATAATGATTATGAATTATGACATGCGAGGAATTAATCCACGTATGTAGATTCAACATGATGTTCAATTAAGCAGCGTTGACGCAGCTTGTACAGTTATAGTAGACTAAAGAATGGGTTCAGTTGAAGGATACAAGCTAAATGGGTTCTACTGAAAAAACTTTAATGCATGCATATGGCAGAGAAACCAATAGCCCCTGCTTTTAGTGCAAGAAGGGTCAGTGTACATGTGTATTTTAGTAACCCTACCTAAGGGAATAAAAACAGGGATAGACAATACCAAGGAATGATTAATGTATACTGCTAATAAACATCAAAAGAAAAAAAAATCAAAGAACGTAACTACATTGTCACATTCTTCCATTTGGATTCCCTTGTCAATAGTATGACAGTTTAATGCTCCATTAGGTATTTTCTAAGACTAAATATCCACAGACCTTAAACAAAGATGTATCCAAGTACAATGTTATGGAACTGACGGGGGCATAAACACTGGACAAAATAAACACAAGGAAAAATTAAGAGGAAAGCCCATGAAATAAATCATTTTATGAATGTAGATACACGATTTACACAATTTGAGTAAAATCTGTCATACCAACTCCTAACAGGTTAAGATCCTAGATGGATGTGACAGCCCTCACTTAGTACAGACATTTATCTCCTGGAAAGAAAACATGCACTTCCATAATTTTGCATGTAGGGATGAAATGAACGCAGATCAAATTCTGAATTTTCATCCAAATCTACTGCCTTTGTCCCCGCTGAATGAAGGTATAAACACCTTTATTGTCAATGATAATAATGTAGTTCAGCAAAGCTCTGAGTATCAAAATCAAATAATTCAAATAGATTGGTTGGTGCCTCCAGTTGAGGAGAACCACCAGTGCTTCAAACCTGGGGTCACCAATTTGTAAATACCTCCATGAGAAACTGGTTTTAGCAAGTTTTCTAGCTAACCAGGGTTTGATAATCGTCTATCCTAAAAATGCAAGAGAAAAAAAAAATCAAAGAACCTGGAATAACTACAATAACTTCTCATATTGCATACTGTGAACAAGCATTTGCAGGCATACAAACATGTCAGTTCACCAGGATTGCATTCATGTATTCATGTGAAAAAAACTTCATGATTAAAAAGATATTTCTGTAATATTTTTTTTTACTCCTCTAGACTTGGCTTGAGTGTTGTACAAAACTCTTTTCCTTTCTAATTGATTGGCAGAGTTCCAACCTCTTCCCCCAAAAAAGGGTAAGATGAGAGATAATATTTTGGCAGGATTTACAGCACATACAAGGAGATAGTTGAGTCCAAATCTATCAGAAAACAGGCATTTGTGATAGTCCTGAATGACTTGAGTGTGCTATTGTTTGTTCATGCATGCAATGCCAAAAGGCCTAGAAGTAGAGAAGGACTCGTCAATGCACATTGGACTCTACATCGAGATCTAAAGCAGTCGAATTCCATTACCCATACCCATAGCCAGAAGGGAAGGACCCATAGGAAAAGGATTTTTTTGAAAAAAAAAAACTTCTTGAGAAATGCCTAGTAATAACCAAGAAATTTTGATATAAAATTACAAAAAAAAAAGATAGCACAGAAAAATTCCAGTTTCATGCTTAAGGCTCATTACTCAATCAGTGTTTCTTCGCACAATTAACTACTTACCCAATCAGATTACAGTGGATCCTTGTCAAAAGAAAGAGAGTTAATGAGAAAAACAAGGAGCAATGAACAAGCTAAACAACCAGTCTACAGTAGAAAAGCAGTTAGATGATCAAACTGAGATCCATGACACCAAAATCCTTTTCATTGAGCTACTTTTGTAAATGTTATAGCCCCTGTTTTCAGGTAAAATAAAGAAATCTACACATGCACACAGTCTCGATAATGCAGAAAATTAGAAATAGGTGATGCAACAGTATCAACTAATAAGAATAACATTAACCAGCAAAGTGTGTAATATAAGTGATTGCACTGCACAGGAAGGGGATGGGAATGTAACTTCTGATTTTTTTACATCATCTATGATTTAGAACTTGTATAAGCAGCATGCAGCCATAGGTCATGCAAGATTTCACCACAAAGAACACCAAGAGCTATATCAAATAAAAGGTATCCAGAGGAATATGTTGAAGTGTCAAAAAGTTTTTTTTGGATATGGAGTGCATGCAATTGAAAATGCGACTCGAGGTCTTTTTCAAACTACCAATACAGGATATTTAGATTATCAAATAAAAAGTACTACCTCTGTCTTGAAATATAAGGCATTACGGCTATGTACCTAGACAAGTACTTGTCCGTGTGCATAGCCAGAATACATTATATTTTTGGACAGAGATAGTATCCAAAGTAATGAAATGAAGTGTCAAACTGTTGATCAATGTGAATCAAGGTAACTTTTGAAACTAACAATACAGGATATTTATGTTATCAAATGAAAGGTATCCAAAGGTACGAAATGAAGCATCAAGGAGTTGATCAGATATGGAATGCATTATACAGACAATGTGACTCAAAGTCCTTTTAACCACCAATGAATGATATTTAGGTTGTGTTTCTAACTTATCATGGGACTAACATATATAAAAAATTATTTTCAGACTTGCAGCATACAAGGATGATCATACCGTAAATATAGTCGCTTTTAGGAGGATTATTTAGACAAATAGGTTCAAAGATTTCACCAACTGAACAAACCAATATGATGTTACACCTGAACCGACCAGTCAAAAAATCAAAATCTAAATTTAACTGACCAGTCTTGAAGTAAACAAAAAGTGGGTTTATAACATTAAGTCATTAACTGATGCAGTGATGGCAGATGGTAAACCAACTAAGTGGCACAACAACCATAAGATAGAAGGAACATAGATCATACTCTTTTACTCTGATAAATTGACAGATATATAACAAACAAGAAAAAACAATATGTGTACCAGTTCATTTACTTTATAAAATCTTCCAAACTGACCAGCCAAGAATAGCTTTTTGGGTTATGAACACAAGATCAATAGGGGACAATCCTACACTTGTGCACTCCATTTGGTAAAATAATGGCAGGTTATTTTCGACAGCTAGCATGGTCATTGATACTGTTTCCCAAACCAGTTGTGAGCAAAAAGGCAGAATACAGGCAACATAGGTTCTTTACGCTTACCATTATTCACCCGCACTCATGGGAATCATGAAATTAACTAAATGAGGGAACTACAGAACCATGAAACCAAAGAGGGCACCCTTGCAGCTCAGCCTAAAAAAAGTTATAGCTAACAATGGCATGATAGATATTGCAAAATCATGCAATTTAAAATCTACACGTTTTGCAACAACTATGATGCAACTAAACATTTGATCGGTTTACCATTTTTGTAAAAACAACCTACATGTGCTAACGTGCACAATAATGTGCCCACTACCCAAAAAAAAAAAGGACAGCAATATATCAGAGTTGAATGTGTTACATGAGTCTTAGCAGTTAGCATTACACATGTCAATTCATGCTGAGTAGAGATTCCTGCACTAACCACAAATGCACATCACCTGCAAAATAGGTTTGCTGTTAACAGCTGCTAGTTTTTAGCTGGAGAGAAAGGTAACAAATTCAAGCAGCATTCAACCACTAAGCCCAAACACGTATGATATTACATAGAGACCGGGCCCAAGATATTCACGTAAGCAACCCCAATTCACGTTCATAACCCTAATCGCAAGGTCCTCACCCATAAACCACCGATTAGCACCGCATGCATAGTCACCAATTGTAACGCCAAGCCAAATCATACGGACAGCAAACAAACAATTCGAACTCAGAACTGCAGAGGCTGAGACGCTAATTTCGATCACAACAAAAAGGGATTAAGGGAATGCGCCCAAATTCCTCGCAAAGCGGTAAAACGCCAAAATTTCGCGGATGCCTCACCTTGGGATCACGGCGAGCGAAAGGCCCTCCCGGAGGAAGGATCGAATCAAGGCTCCAGCGGTCCGCACCTCTTAGCGATTTCGAGTTCCAGCGCCCCTACGCGGCGTCATCAAACCCTGATGCAGGAACCGCGGCGGCGGGGGCAGCACGCGCCACAGGCCACACATAGTTCCGCACTAAGAATTACGCGGGGTTAGACGAACGCCGAGCCTAGGGTTCGAGGAAGGGTAGGGAGCGCGAGACATACGCGGTCGTGGGGCGTCACAGCCTGGCCTCAAAGCAGGGAACCGGGGGAGGGCGGTGGAGGAGCCGCCGGGTCGGGGGACGCCACTCCACCGGCGGCCATTTGGTTCCGATCGCCACGCGACGCGAGCTCTAGGGCTTGTGCCGCCGTGGAAGAAGGTGAGGCGGCAAACGCCAAGGCGGCGCCCGCGGGATCGATCGAGAGGCGTGTGAAGCTTCTCCGAGAAGGCGTGGGCAGCGGCCGAGCGGGTCCGGCCAGCCAGCCGCAGGGTCGGATTCGATTTGGCTCGGCCGCCGCCCGCCGCGTCTCTGCTCCTGTCTACGACGCGTCCTGTTCACGTGCCCGTGTGCCACGCTACCGTCTGGTTCGTGTGCCGCTCTGTGCTACAACTTCCAGTGGGGTGCGTTGGTCAGAGACTCAAGAGTCCATCACTCGCATGGTGGCGGAGAGTGACTGTTCCCTCCATCAATCAGGGAGTAATCAAAATCAGCAATTGAAACGTCCATCTCAGAAATGAAACAACTGAAGTCCAAATTTCAAAGTCATACTAACTCATAACTCATGACCACAAAACTAGGAACAATAGGTCAACATTAGTAAAGGTACTTTATCAAAAGAAAAACATTAGTGAAGGTACTGAAACTTATATTTATCCTGGCTATGTTAAGGTCTTTATTTATCCTTCGTCACATAAACAACTCGAAGGCAACCGGTGATGACAGTCCAAAATCCTAAATGCCACTAGATGTGACCAGGACATAAAAAAGTATGGCCACTTGAGCATTAATAAGATGACCTATTAGTACTACTTAAGCATGATATTTCCTTTCTTAAAAAAACTTGTTTCTTTTAGGCTAGCTACTTTAGCAAATTAGGTAAATCTGTTATGTCATGTCCTGATGTCCACCCAGCTGATCGACACGTACGTCCTCGCCGGGCAAACCAGTCTCCTGCCTTGGATCTGCAAAGAAGAAATTACCGCTGAGGACTTGCTTAGTTTCTCCTTAAAAAGTTTACACCCTATCTCATTGAATGTTTATATATACATGAAGTGTTAAATATAGATTAAAAAAATAACTAATTACACAGATTGCGACTACTTTACGAAACGAATCTTTTAAGCCTAATTAAGCAATGATTTGACAATAAAGTGCTACAGTAACACATGTGCTAATAACATGTTAATTAGGTTTAATAAATTCATCTCACGGTTTACTGACGGATTATGTGATTTTTTTTATTAGTATCAAACACCCTATGCGACATCCACATGACATGCCAAAACTTTACGCCATGGAACTCAACGATGCCTGAATTTGACACAAAGGGTAAAAAGAAAAAGATGAACCTTGACTAGCAGTACTGATCAGCTAGCTAGCTTCGGACGTACGCGTACGCGGTTTGTTACCACAGCTGAAGACCGCGTCGACTGGAACTCCCACCGTCGGCGTCGGCGTCGGCGTCGGCGTCCTCGTCCGTCTGCGGCCACAGACGTAGCATTGTGCTCGCCGCCGACTTCTCCTCCACAGCCAGGAGGTACGCGAATGACGGCGACTGTGGCAGCGGCGGCTCCGCCATCGTCGTTGTCTCCTCCGCCTCCACGCCTGCGGCGGCTGTGCCGTCGTGGCGCCCGTTCTCATCGATCTGCATCACAGCGGCAGTCACTTCACTGGTCGACTAGCGATCGTTCACAGTTTATATAGTTACCTTGAGCTGAAGCTCGTCGGTCAGGTTGATGAACAGCTCATCCTGCCAGAAAAAAAACAAGGCACGCGATTAAAACTTAACACGCAGAAGCAGCGTGTATCAGGAATCAGGATCACTGAACAGTAGATACCTTTCTTGCACGGACTCTACCGACGACCGACTCGAGCTGCTGTTCGAGCTCGCCGAGTTCGACCACTGAAGTCAGAGACGACAGGTCTTCTCCCGTGTACGTCTTCAAGCGGGCCTCAAGCTGTTGGTACTCATGCTGCAGCTTGCTGATCTCCGCGGCCATCTGCTGCTGCAATGGAGGGAAAATCAATCAGGAACAGTCGAACAGAGATGGCACATAAACAGACTGAAGCTGCACTGGGTCTGCGTACCTGATGGTCAGTGCAGTGTGCCTCCTGATGGAAGAGTTGCGTGTTGGTGACCGCCTCGTACCGGTGAATCAGATCAACCAAGCTTTGCAAATGGTAAGAGTGGAGTGTGTTAGTGTTAGGGATTTACAAGATTTTGGGATCATCCTATACTTTTTGCTAATCGAGATCATATGTAAACTTCAAAGAACTAATCGGCGTGTAGGTCATCTGAAAACCTTAATCCAAGCGAAAAAGTATCGGTTGTGCCGTATAAGGTTTTCAGATTACCGACAAATGATCCAAGCAATCCGAGCGACAATTAATCCAAGCAATCCCAATGCGATGAACACAACCAAAGAAATTGATATGGCAGTGAAATCAGGCAAGAAATAAAGTGCAAAGAAAGGTCCACAGCAATTTAGTCACCCAGACCTGGCCGGCGAGGAGTAGTCGAACAGCTTGCCGCGTTCGGAGAAGACGATAACGCCGACGTCCACGTCGCAGAGCACGGCGAGCTCCTCGGCTTTCTTGAGCAGTCCCTTGCGCCGCTTGGAGAAGGTCACCTGCCGGCTCACCTTGTTCTCGATCCTCTTCATCTCCACCTTCCCACGCCCCATTGCGCTTGCGCCGCCTGAGCCTCAAAACCCTGCCCAGCAGAACGAGTCGTGCAGTCGTGCTTGTAGGTGCGGAAATGGAGGTCTTTCCTCTTAATGAAAAACGGGCTAAACACCCGTCAAGAAAAAGGAAATGGAGAAGGTCGTTCTCAGAAACTCAGATTCCCTTCCCTTGGCGCTTATATAAGCCAAAGAGTCGTGCTTGGAGGTGCGGAAATGGAGAGGACAATGCCTGGAAGTTACTCAACCCACCCTGTTCGATCGGAAATGTGAGTTGCCGATCAACAAATCCAAGAACAAAACACTTTTCCCATTCCTAAAATGGCGTGGTTTATTTATAAGGCATTTTTATTCGACCTTTTTTTTATGTACATAGATCTAAAACATGGAAAAGATATGAACACAAATATCCCATTTGTTAAGCTAGTCAAAAGATTGAATAGCGAAGTCAAGAGTAAGCGGCGGTCCCTACTTAGAAAAGGGAGGTGCTTGCCACCGAGACAAGCACCTTCCTCCCCAAGCACCTTCCTAGAAGATTCCTAGGCCCCTGGGGTTTCTGCAACATCTAAAGCCCCTTTGTCTGATCAGCGCACAGTAGTGCCGTGTACGTGCGCCCGCAAACAGAAGTAGAAAACCTCAGCAGCAAGTTACAATCCTTAATTGCAAGCATTGCCGAGTCCGGTCCAATTTGGGCGACGACATGACACACTATGCCATGAGAGTAGTTACCTGTTGTTGTATTCATAATATGTAAGCAAAGGTGAACCCAGCAAACATTGCCAAGTCCAATCAAATTCAGTGGAAATGACTGATTTGGTCTTGGGAGTGAACGACCATGGCCCAACTCTACTGGATCTCAGAATTCAACTAGACACAAAGTGTGAAACGAATTTTTCATCCATGAATTAACAGCACCTTACATGCTACCAATCAAGAGCAACGGGAAAAAAAAGAGCATGAACCGCACAACACAAGCAGAGCATAGAAGCATTAACACCCAGCATTTCATATCAGAGGCCTCATGGAGGCAAACTTTTAGAACAGAAGGAAACGGTATGGTAACTTTAATCCACTAGCCACTAATCATTATCCTTTCAACTAACATCACAGCAGAAATGAAACTACCATGATGCTACACCCTACTTAGAATCACCTGTTTCAGTTTGATACCCAACGATATTAGCTAACGAAAACCTGCAGTTTGGACAACCTAAAATGAGAACTCTGAATCAGGTGATAGCTTCTGAGCAACATTCTCAGCCACTTTCACGCAGAGACTGCTGCTCTTCAGGAGCTTGCCCCTGCTGTTCCTGAGGCTCCTGCCACAAATACGTCACTGGGTGGCTTTGCTGAGCACCATAAACCATTCCAGGACCAGGCACCTGCTGCTGTTGCATGTAGTAGTATGGATATGCATCAGCTGGGGCTCCCATGGGTGGCAACCCAGCCCTAGGAAGCCCAACCCCGTCCTCCTTCATCTCATCCCTGGGAACAATGTCGACCAAGAAGTCGTAAATGTCAGTCCTAGTGATGGCTGCTGCAATGTCATTCTTCTGCAAGGTGCGGCGCTTGTTCTCCTCAGTGTGCATCCACGACCTCAGTGTCAACTCCAGTATGAATATCTCACAAGCTTTTGCAAAGACCACAGGAGCTTCAGCCGAGATCATGCGAACGTCTTCATCAGCCTTCATGATCTTCTTTATCCTCGCAAGTGGCAAGTTGTGGTTCTTGAAATCAGTGGTCGCCTCAATTTCAGCCATGCGTTCAGCCCAGAACTGCTGAAGCTGCTGCTGTTGCTGCTGCTGGAGCTGTTGATGGAATTGTTGAGCTTGTTGGTAGACAATCTGGTGCTGAGCACTCATATGAGCAGGGTTGGCTGGGAATGGTTGCGCTGACTGTAAACCAACAGATGCAACTGCAGGAGCAGCTACTGTTGCTGCAGGCGGATAGGCAGAGGCAGGATACACTTGCGATCCAGCAGCAGCAACACCCATTGCAGGCTGAGGCTGAGAGGATGGTTCCATGTCCACTCGCTCTTGCCCAAAAATCTAAGATCTTTCCAGAACTGCAAAAGAAGAAACATATTAATCGATAGGCTCAAATTTAATTAGGAAAATTAGAAACAGTCCTGAACTTCTATGTAATTTAAAGAAGTAAAACAAGGTTATTTCCGTTTTGTCTGCACGAACAATATTCTTTTGTGTACATGAACTTGACCTCTTGCAATTGTATTAAAATTGATTTTCATTCTTGGATAACCCCAGCAGACCAGCTTCTGTTTCACCGTCCAAAGAACCATCATTTAAATATCTCCACCAGATAAAGACAATGGATGCAGAGGGATAAAATGCAGTCAGATAGCGACAAACCCCATATTCCTACATCTCAATTCAAAAGCATGATCATATATGAACACATGCTCGTATTTGGAAAAAATACAAATTGGTAGAAATATCTGACTCTCGGGTACTAGAAAATGCATTTAGGATCGTTGACTTGTTCAGTTGGCCAGATCACTATCAGCTCGAAATAGACCTACGATGACCTATCTAAGATCAAAGTTCTGACAAACCTTCCTGTGGCATACTAAAATCAAAATGCACTTAGTCTCAGATTGGAACACTGGAAGATAGGATGCAATGCACAACCAGTTCCATAATAGTGGTTAGACAAGAAAATGTTAGCCATGAGTATGACTTCTTAATTAGAAAGGGATGACAACTAAATGGATGCTGAGATTTGTGTCCAAATTGAAGCAAATCATGAATTGCAGAACCAAAATCAGATCTCAAAAATTTCAGACTCGATCAGATGAACAGACTTAGATTAATTCTAAATATTTCCATTAGCACATAACAGAAAGATGGCTAGTAACCTTGCACTTATCCATGCAAAACCAATTCCACTGGAGAACTTATCTTTTCAATTTCCACAAGTATCATGTACTTTTTTTATTTGCACAAGTGTCATGTAGTGAATCGGCATATATCTTCCATTACGTCGAGAAGGATATGGCTATTGGATAAGGATGACGTGCTACTAATACAGCAAGCAGTGAATGCTATGCAATCACCTTGTCGTTCTACTGGAGAGCTTATCTTTTCAATCTCCACAAGTATCATGTGTTTTTTTATTTGCACAAGTGTCATTTAGTGAATGGGCAGATATATACCGACCGGATGGATACGGATGTTAGATAAGGATGATGTGCTAGTAATACATCAAGCAGTGAATGCTATGCAATCACCTTCTCATTTTGCACCTTTTAGACATTCTGAAATAAATAAAGTCTTTTAATGTGTATGCGCCAAGGATAGGTGGGTCCTACTAACTCTTTTGTCTCAAAATAGCATGACGGTTAGTGGTTTCAAACTTTCAAGGTCGTCCTAATGGTATTTGTCGGATTGTGTGAAACTGAAACAATGCGCCAATGAGAAGTAATGGTATTTGTCGGATTGTGCGAAACTGAAACAATGCGCTAATGAGAACTAATAGTATTTGTCGAATTGTGTGAAATGAAACAATGCGCCAATGAGAACCAACTGCATTTGTCGGATTGTGTGAAACTGAAACAATGCACCAATGAGAACTCATGGATAACTTAGAGTAAAAAAAGGGCGTACCCAGTGCAAAGAGCTCCCGCTCTGTGCGGGGTCTGGGGAAGGGTGTCAGTGGCAAGCCTTACCCTCGCCTGTGCAATGCGAGGAGACCGCGACTCGAACCCGGGACCTTCCGGTCACAGGCGGTAAGACTCTACCGCTTGCACCAGGTCATGGATAACTTAGAGTAACTAATCATATTCTGGCTTAAGGCGTCATGTGGGCATAGGATGTAGCCAACAATGTAAGACCTCTTGGGTTGAACTAGTGGTAGTTGTAAGGCCATTGGCACATGTCTTCTTTGGCTTAGCCCTAGCCACCTTCTATTGAAACAAAGTGAACCATGTGGTTGGACTGGGGATCTGCTGGGTCAGGGGATCTTGGATTATTGAGATAGTTAAGTTATAGAGATCTAAACTATATTTGAGCCTCATTTTAAGTGTACTGTAGATATAAAGGTTGTCAAGTTCCAGATCTTACATAGAATCGACCATGCTCAAATCAATAATTAACATGTTGCATGATTCTAAAAAATAATACCTCCAGTCATGAATACATGACATTTTGGGCAGGAAAAAAAAGCTAACACTACACTAAGATTACACAATAATTTACATGAGTAAAAAAATCAAAATCAAAATATGATAAAAATACATAAAAATATAGCACAAATGAAGGACATTATATATTTATATAATAGAACATCGTATGCCAAGCAGTTATTTACAATCGATTACAGTAGAAGAGGGGGTAGCATGTAAATCATGATCATGATCCTACAAGTTGTTTTTGGCTAGAACTAGAACAATATCCAGATACTGTGCCTAGGGCAATATTCCACGCAACCTAGGATGGTAGAAACGTAGGAATATAAGGCTCCGGTAGAAACGTAGGAATATAAGGCTCAAGAGGAGCCTATGGAACCTTTGTATTTGTATACATGGAAACTATTCCTCTGATTGATTTATGCAAACAGTGACATGACTTATGGACAGGATTGCTCTTTGACAGAACAGCTGAAGGGTACAATCAGAGCCACACATATAAACACAAAACTGGACACCTCAAGTACTTTGCTTTTACCTAAAAGAAGATGGACACCAGTTCCCAAAAATGGCGTCCGTCTGTTCATGTGAAACTTATCTGTTGCCGAAGCAGAACAAGTTATGTGGAAAAACCAGATCTATTACTAATTTTCTGACAATTTTTTCAAAACAGAGGAGCTGCACTTCTTTTTAATAGAAAATATGGCATTGCAAGTTTCTTTTCATCGTGCTCTTTGGTAGGGCCATGACCCTTTCCTACTTTCTACTCGTTTGTGTAAAAAAAAAAAAAGACGGGCAAATTGTTGTTCAAGGTAGGTACCAAAGATGAACAAATTATCCAAAGCAGCAAAACGGAGTA